TTTCAGTGATACTTGAGGGAGAGGTAAATGTCATTTGTGAGAGATTCTAAGCACTGGTCAGACAGAACATAAAAAATAAACATTTTTTAAAAGGGACTTGATTCCAAACAAATCAAATAATATATTCCCTCAAGTGTAAAAAACTGAATAATGCAATGTTCTGAATACTAACAGTGAAAAGGTAGATGAAAGAAACAATTGAAATAATTAATCAGACATAGTTTGAACAACCAATTAAGGGTTTCAACTATATAATCTAAGATTAAACTGAACGAAAGCTACATTTTGCATTAATATTCACAGCCCTAAGTGCAAACTGTAATTGTCCATGATGTTTCCATAAATGTAAGAAGGAAATCACATTAACAAACATAAAATTATTTTTCCTATTACACAGACACTTAATAGCTCTTTTGTTAAACCTTTTAATCTTTTCAATGAGCACACAAAGATTATAATTATACTGCTAGTATTTCTGTGTGGGTAATATGAGTTACTGTAGTTGATATTTCCTCTGTATTTTTTTGAACATTTCCTAATTTTTTAAGATAAAACAGTCATATTAGTGTGAAGCTATGAGGTAATGGTTATAGTAATAAAGTCCACATGATGAAAACTTAATAACATATATACAGGATACTGAAAGAAAACTGTAGAAATTGCAATGAAGTAAGCACACAGGTTTGTGTTTTTGCTTGAATGAACAATTATGGGTGTTCCAGAAACAGTTTGTAATGTACTAAAAAGATAACTGAGGTTGAGTCTTGACCAAGCTAGTAGACACATCTTCCGTGTCCCTCCTCTTAACTTAAAAAAATTGAATCAGCAAGTGTTGTTAGTAGGAGCTACTTTTGGCTTTTTTAATATGTACATATTAAACATGACTATCATTCATGTAACTATACAGTCCAAAACCACTGCAACCTTGAGGAAAACTGAATTACCAATTTGTTGTAATGATTAAAAATTTGTTGTAACAATGTAAAACAAGGATTAGAAATGGGTCAAGAAAATGGCTACTCTGCTATTAAGGAGAGGTGGCCACTTTACCAGGGTTTGAGCCAGGCCGCGCCATTGTGCCAGTCCCACACTGCAATTGAAATTGTCCCTTAAAAAAATGGCCAAAGGAACAATTACTTGTTGCCTTCAAAATTTAGGGAAAAAGGTCAAAAGGAAGCACACACAAAGAGATTTAGTTCAGTACATAAATTTAGCCACATCTAAAACAGAACATGAAACGAATATTTTATCGCACGTTTTAAAAAGTTCATTCTAAAGTCACATTTCCACAGTCACGCTCTACTGAACACGTGCATCTCATGCTCAACCAAGCCTGGTGAACTTTACATTTGGTGTGTAACAATATATCACATCAAAAACGTGTTCGAACATTAGAAAGCTTTTCAGCTCGAAATTGAAGCCAGCGTGAATCTGCAAAAAATGGCACGGAAGAAGAACAGGAAGAAACGGATGAGAATCAAAGGAAACCGAAAAAGTCATGAACTTTCCAGAAAACTTGGTTGCGAGATCACACATGGTTGCGCTACGAAAAGGAGGCGATGTTCTGCTATTTTTGTCGGAAATCTAAGAAGACAAACCCCTTTGCATCGGCAGAAGTGTGTACAAATTTTAGAACCTCAACTCTGCAAAGACTGTAAAGAACATGAGGATGCTGTTAGTGAAGAAGCTATGAGGGATACGTTCACCTGGCCAAAGAGGATGTAGCAACAGTCAAGTA